TGTGGGAATAAAACTTCAAAGTGGAAAGCAAAAGAAATGTAAGAGGGGCCTGGGGACGTGACTAATGAACAGAGGAAATGCTATTTTAGTGCCAGGAATGTCTTACTTGTTTATTCTGGACCCTATTTGGAAATTGGCATCTTTTGAAATTTATGTGAAATTGGCAAAATTGCTAAATTCTGACCACTTTATTGGATAGTTGAAATCGGTAAATTGGTGGTTTCTTGTACTCATTAGATAGAAAAAATGGAGTTCTAGCGAAATAGTTACGATTTTTGTCGACTAGTACATTGGAATTGGCCGAAAATAGGGCTCAAAGTGGGCAAAATCGTCGATGTGTGAACATCGTCGAGACCGCTAACTTCGCGAGAGCATAATTCCATAAGCTTTCCATCAAATTTCATACTTTTGGTGTCATTATGATTGGGAAAAGATTCTCTATCTTTTCATAAGAAAAAAATATTTTTTTTGTTTTTTTTGAAATTTGGGGGACCCTGAGAACAAGTCTCTGAGAGGGCCTGTGGACCCTGAAAGGGTTAATATAAAAAAATTATATTTTATGAAGTTTATTTAAAAGAGAATATTTTACTTTGTGTACATATATACATACGCACATATAAATTGGCACTGTATGTGCCATCTTCAGTAAGTATGAGAAAAAGAGGTTACATTATAACCACATTTAAGATTGTAAAAGGATATGGAAGAATTAGCAAGGAAAACTTGGTAGCCCCCATCAAGTAGTTAAATAAGTGGCCTCAGCAATAAACTAAGGTAGAAGAGTAGCCAAAATTATTTAAAAAAAAAAAAACTTTCTTTAGAACAGATTTGAAACTTCTTGAAAATTAATGGTAGGTTGAATATAGTACAAGCTTAGCTCTCTTTCTTTAAAAGTAGACAAGCTAGAGAAATTCAAACAGTGCTACAAATCTGTTGCCAGAGATAAAAAAAAAAATAGATGAGGAATGAAGATAGGAAAACATTAGAGATGCCTTCAGTGGCTGACTGGGGAAAATAGGCAATGTGTTAACCACAAATAAGATACAAAAGAATTAACAAGGAAGATTTCCTAGCACCGTCAGTAGGGAGAACAAAAGGCCATAGATATAATCTTAGAAAGACGAGGTGCCAAAGTGATACTAGAAAGTTCTTCATAAACAATGATGCATAACAAGACTTTGTAGTAAGTGCCACAACTTCTTAAAACTTTAAAGTTATATGATACATATCAAAGATGGGACACCAGAGATGTAGCTCTGCCCCTGTATCTACAAATAGATAATTATAGGTATATCTGTACTGAACAAAGAGACTTTTTAATAATTTTACAGTACTGTATGTAGATGAAATGCTGAAAAAAAATATTCACAGCTTATATTTGCCCAAAACTAAAATATGGAGATGTAATACAGTAGCCACCAAGAAGTGTAGATAAAAAGAGTCCAGACTCGTTCTAAATTATCACTCCGAAGAGTTCAAAATTATAAATTAAGAAAAATGAAAACACTGCAGATGTGGTTGTTATTAGATAGGAAGAAGAGGGAAGATATGATAATTAAAATAAATATGGAAAAACAGAAAAGTCAGTTTTAGAGCAGCAATAGGGAGAATAAGAGGCCACAACTCTAAGGAAAAAAAAAAAAAAGTGCTGATAGGACACTAGGAAATATTCCTTCACTATTAGTTTTTGGAACAGAATCCATGAGGAAGGTGTTTGTGCTACAACCACCAAAAACTTTGCAAAATCAGATAAACTTAACACTGATCTGGGACACCATGAGCATAGCTCTGTTCCTGTATCTACAAATAGGTACTCTCACATTCATGTGTAAGTAGATGAACTTTTATTTAACCCTTTGACTGTTTCCGTTGTATATATACATCTTACGAGCCACCGTGTTTGATGTATATATACTCATAAATTCTAACGGTTTCAAATCAAGCAGGAGAAAGCTGGTAGGCCCACATGTAAGAGAATGGATCTGTGTGATCAGTGTGCACCATATAAAAAAAATCCTGCAGCATGCAGTACATAATGAGAAAAAAACTCCGACTTTTTTTTTTTTTTTTTTAATTAAAATGCCGACTTTGTGGTCTATTTTTGTATAGTATTTATGGTTGTATTCTCGTTTTCTTGGTCTCATTTGATATAATGGAAAACATATAGAAATAGAGGTGATTTTGATTGGTTTTACTATGAAAAGAACCTTGAAATGGAGCTCAAAGTAGGGGAAATGTTTGAGTTTTGCCGATGTTCAAAAGTAAACAAATGATGTCATTTTCCAATGAATGTCCAAGTAGCCATTCTAATATGCAGTCATGAATGGGTTGACATTATTTATACAATTATTACAGTGTTGCAGTAGTCTGCATAATAGTAAATCTTCTATTTTTTGTTTGAAAAAAATTCAAAATAGAAAGCAAGAGTAATATCAGAGGGGTCTGGAGACATGACTGATGAACAAAGAAAATGTTATTTTAGAGCCAGGAATGTCCGCATTGTTCATTCTGGACCCTATTTTGAAATTGTCATATTTTTTAATTTTCGTGAAACTGGCCAAATTGCAAATTTCTGAACACGTTATTGGTAGTTGAAATCAGTAAATAGGCAGTTTCTTGTACTCAGTCGATAGAAAAAATGGAGTTCTAAAGAAATAGCTATGAGTTTGGTAACTGGAACAATGAAATTAGCTGAAAATAGGGCTCAAAGTGGATGAAATGGCAGATTTGTAAATATCGCCGAGGTCGCTAACTTCACGAGAGAGTAATTTCATCAGTTTTCCATCAAATTTCATTCTTTTGGTGTCATTACAATTGGGAAAAGATTCTGTCATTTCATAAGATTTTTTCCAACACTAGGAGACACCTCAGGATTTTGGGTTGTGACAGTCAAGGGGTTAATAAGTTTGTTTATTTATCAAACTGCATTTAATCATTTCAAGCACTGCAGAATCATAATAGAAGCATGTTGATGGGATGAGTGAGGAAAGCACGTCCATCTATAAGTCTCCATTGTATATCACTGTACATATGCTATCAGGGTTGGTTGGTGTGCCATGATAAACCCTTTGATGTAACATGTTGCAAGGAGGTTGTCACTTCAGTCACAAGGAAATGTAATAGTTTGTTGTCATTTTAATTGTAATAATCTGTTATTGTAGACATTCACTGTATGTGCAGCTGTTTACCATACATGAAGTTAATGGTTTAAAAAACATTTAATATTCTTTGTAATAATTATTTATTGTATGATTTTAGTGACAACAACTTCAAAAATTTGTGCTTGGTAGTTCAGCACAGAAAACCTTCAGTTTAACAGATTTTGGAAATGTGGAACAAAATCTGCTGGGTCAGTTGATTTGAAATGAAGGGACAAAGTGCATTGGTTTACAAGAACTGACTGTTTTTGTTACTGTCATGGCAAAATAGTCTCGTCTCTGTCACAATCATTACTGGTGACTTGTGACCCCATTAGTCAGTTAAATAGAAGGTTTTCTGTAGTTTTCTCTTCGTTTTTATCTGTTTAGTAACTGAAGGTTACTCAACAGGTATATTATTTAACATTTTGTAGATTGTATATTAAACAGTGTTTATACTGGAGATCATTGTGGAGACAAGTGTGTGTGTGTGTGTGTGGTGCTTTACTATTTATAGGTTACGATGCTTTATCTTGCGTGTTCTGTGTGCATGTTTTTGCTTTGTTTATGAACGATAAATTCATAAAACAGTGATATGAACTTCATTGTACAGTTTCTGACTTTTAAGATATTCAGCTTCATAATGAATGTACTGGGAAGGGAAATTTATTTATTCATATTATTATTATTTTTCAGGAGTTTACTTCTTACCACTGAAGTACAGTAAAGTCATTTTATAATGGAATAAGTTGACTTGAGCATCTTTTAAAGTCTTATTTTTTTCCAGAAAAACTGTAAAATGCCACTCATAAAACAATAAATGGAATTTCTGCTGAGTTTGTGCCTGCATAAATACCAAAGACCTGCTCTAACAAGTTGCACTACTGTACCTTAGATTCAGTCTCAAAATGAAATTTAACTACATGTATTAGGACTTAAAATTACAAGGGGTGGAGGCCCTCATGCTATATTATCCAGTGTTTGCCACCTCAAAATGGCATACAGTACTATAACTCTGTTTTCTTAATTATGGCTAATGGAATTTGCTTGAAGGGTTATGGAATTCAAACCATACCACGGGCGGCGATAGAACCCGCGATCAGAGTCATAAAACTCCAGACCGACACGCTAGCCACTGGGCCAGCTGGCTACAACAAGAGTCATGATGATGACTTTGAGGGGACTTGAGCTAGAGCTAGTCACAGCCACACTGGTGAGAGATTCATCTGTAAAAACTTGCATTTGTGGTCACAGTGGTGCCTATGCTATCCTTCCTATGGTGTATAAATATACCTAGTTGGACAATTCTTGTTGTAGCTAGCTGGCCCAATGGCTAGTGCATCAGTGTGGAGTTTTATGACTCTCTGACCACAGGTTCAATCCCCACCTGTAGCATGGTTTGTTTGCAGTCATGTTGTTATGATTTCATGAGTCGTGAAATTCAGTGAATTTTAATGCCATTGCTAATATTGGAGTGCATTTAGTAAATAAAAAAGAGAGATCAAATGTTTGTGTGCCACTCGTTTGATTTCTGAATGAGATTTCTTTTAGGCTGGCATTCCATTATAACGGGATTTTACAGCATGTATTAGGAGTTGTAATTTGAGCTGGATGTTCCAGGTTATTATTCCTTTAATTGTAGTTATTGTGCATGTCGTTAGTAAATGCATCCAAATTACTTTTGAATCACTGTTAATTTTTTGGCTTAGGTTTTACTTAAGGTAGAATAACCAGTATTCATTTTATAAAAAATAAAATTGTTTGAAAAAATATTAGAGTTGGATGATCAGATATTTTGTATTAAAAGGTTTAAAAAGTGTTTAAAGATATGAAATAATTGGTTTATTATATGTTCTTTAACAGAATCAGGAACCTATGTCACCTACTGAAGGAATCAGTGATATGACTCCAATTGATGACCTGCTATCTGCTGTGAGAAACTCGGTACTGTATAAGGCTGACCCATACAGTGTGGAGAACTTGAAACTTATGGGTGAGAATATTATAGAATTATCATTTATGTTCTTTGAGAAAGAACAGTCCATGGTGGGCACTTAATATATTCTCTTGCCTTACAGTGTTTAGAGGTTACCTTATGTTCTGGCATGAGGCTGTGACGGGTGAATTTGTAAGTTATGGACTTATTGATAATAGGAAAAGCTGGGTTATTTTTCTCAGCAGGCTCAAGTCTTTAACCTGGGACCCCTTATGGAGAAATGTTCCTGAGAGCTCGTCGTAAGCCAAAATTATCATTAGCTGAATTAATTTTCCCCATAAGAAATAATGGAAATCAAATTAATCCGTTCCTGACACCCCAAATATGAAAAAAAAAAAAATTTTACCACATGAAATGTTAATTTTAATACATACAAACTGAAGAAGACATGCACAATTACTGCTCTACTAAGAATAGAATACATGACACTTAACTTTATTGAAGATCTGGTGATGATTGATGGGATGGGAGGAGGGGAGTGTGTGGAAGTTATTGTTTAGAAGGGGAATCCCCTTTCATTAGGACTTGAGGTAGCAAGTCCTTTTCCGGGGTTACTTCCATTCTTCTTTTAATGCCACTAGGACCAGCTTGAGAGTCACTGGACCTCTGTCGCACAACAAATCTGTCCATAGAGCTCTGTACCTCCCGTTCCTTTAAGACTTTCCTAAAATGGGCCATAACATTGTCATTGTACAGGTTGCCAACACGGCTTGCAGTAGCTGTGTCAGGGTGATTTTCATCCATAAAGGTTTGCAGTTCAACGCACTTTGCATACATTTCCTTAATCTCTTTTTTCAATTCCATACTAATTCTTGCCCTTTTTACAACAGGGATGGCACTAGAAGCTTTCTTGGGGTCCATGGTGACTTATTTTGCAGGTACAAGCACTAAAAACACTGGGATAATGTGAAATGTACCGAATGTATGTGTAGATGTGACTGCACTGGCTGGCTTGTAAACACTGGCACTGAGGCCACACGTGGGACACATTCCGGACGAATCACGTAAGGCGAGTTTTTTATTGTGAGGCGAGGCAAAATTTTTGCATTCAAATGCTTCGTATGGTGGATTTAACATAACGCGATGCGTTCGTAAGGTATTGGACATGTACAAATGGAACACTGAGGCCTCCCCTGTAAAACAATAGCCTTGCCCGTAGACTCGCTGCCAGATGGAGGTGAATGAACCTTCATCGTGTCATATTTTCCCTATACATTATCTGCTCAGTGTTATATGATTATTACAGTGTATTCAAAGTAAATATGCTGCAGTTTCTCAACTGAGTTACACAAAAAAAGTTAACAGATCGTGTGTTATTGGACAGTTTACTATATGTTAAACAACCATGGTGACATCACACATCCCTGGTTTAGACCCATTTATTGGAAAATAATCTCCCTCTCTCCTCCATACCCTGACCTGCACCTCAGTATTCATATAAAAGCTCTTTACTTCTTTAAGTAACCTACCACCTATTCCACACATTTACATTATGAGCACTATGTTCAATATATAAGGAAATGCTTTTTGCTAAATGGGTATTAATCACCCAGATTAATTACTCATTACTAATTATGGGCACCCCTCTGAGGCTTACTAATTGAAAAATAGACATTCACTTTTCCCATGAGTAATGTTGCAGAAAAATAGAGCTATGCATGAAAAACATGATGGGTGGAGTGAACAACTTGTGGGAAAAATTGGGTTACATTGCATGCCACCTTTAAAAAACTTGTCTTTTAAATACACAGCTCACCTGAAATAATAAACTAAATATTATACAATAACTTTTAAAAGGCATATAGATATTATAGGCATATTAAAGTATCATAGGGAATCATACCCCCGGCCAGGATTGAACCCGCGGTCATAGAGTCTCAAAACTCCAGCCCGTCGCGTTAGCCACTAGACCAGCTAGCCACAATAAGATTCATCCAACTAGGTATATTTCTACACCATAGGAAGGTTAGCACAGGCACCACTATGACCACAGTGGTCACAGTGGTGCCTGTGCTTTTCGCTCTTCCCCTGTTGAGAGCCTCTATGCAGAAGCAAATGTTTCATCCTTGGCCGATCGCTGCGATGCCCATTGCCTTCGCTACTATGTACGCTCTCATGATCTCCACAATCCTTCCATTTATAGAATAGTCACCGATAATAGTAGACATTCTTTATTTGTTCGCCGCCCCTGTTTGCTCCGTCCCTTTTCTCTTCGCCTACATTCGCTCTTGTCTTCCCTTCAGTTGCCACCTTTCTATGTTCATGTAGCCAACATGACTCAAGAAATCGTAATGACTCTATGACCGCGGGTTCAATCCCGGCCGGGGGTATGGTTTATGTTCATGTAGCATCTCACTTTTCCCTACCCCCCTGGGAAGTTCCAGCTGTTCGAGTCTGTTCTTTCTTACTCCCTTGCTCAAAAGCCCAATTGCCTATGGTAGCTTCCCGCTCTCGTTTTCTTGACGACTTCCACTCTCATTCTCATGCCATTGCAGTGTACACAACTGGCTCTAAGTCTTCTGACGGTGTCGAATTCGCAGCAGTGTTTCCGGACAGCGTCATGCGAGGGCATTTACTGTCATCGGCTAGCATTTTTACTGCTGAATTGTATGCCATTCTTGCAGCACTTATCCGTATTGAATCTTTGCCTGTGTCATCATTTGTGGTTGTTTCAGACTCCCTTAGTGCTTTACAGGCTATACAAAAATTTGATACACCTCACCCCCTAGTTCTCCGTATCCAACTTTGGTTACGCCGTATCTCTACCATGCATAAAGATATTGTTTTTTTGTTGGGTCCCTGGTCATGTTGACGTACAGGGCAATGAACAGGCAGACACTGCTGTGCGGTCAGCAGTACCTGACCTTCCAGTTTCATATAAAGGTGTTCCATTCACGGACTATTTTGCTGTTATAGCTACCCACCTTCACACCCGTTGGCAACAATGTTGGTCTGCTCTGCTCAATAACAAACTTCGTTCTATTAAACCGAGTATAGGTTACTGGCCGTCTTCTTATCAGTGTTGAGGTTGGGAGACTACTCTCTCCCGCCTTCGCATTGGCCACACTCGTCTTGCTCATGGATATCTCGTGGAGAGGCGCCCTGCTCCTCTCTGTGAGAATTGTCAGGTTCCAGTATCGGTCAGCCACACACTGTTAGACTGCCCACTCTGTCATTGAGCACGCAGAATTTACCTCCAACGTAGTCTTCACTCTTCTGCTCTCTCTTTACCTTCCCTTCTTGCTGATGGACCCACCTTTCATCCGGACTCTCTCATTGACTTTTTGACAATAACTGACTTACTCCACAAACTCTGATGATACCTTTAGCACTCCCCTCAGCCCTTTCTACCTCAATCTCTTGCTACCCTCTACCCCCGCACTATCACCTGCCCCGCTGTTTTCTGTAACCTACTAATCGTCCCTTCCCCCTTTTGCCGCCCGATACCCTCGCTTCCTTCCCTACCCTGCAGCGCTGTATAGCCCTCATGGTTTAGCACTTCTTTTCGATTATAATAATAATGTAAAAGGATCCTGAGGCAGATGTCTGTAACATGCTATTTCTGGGAATGCTGGCTCCAATTTATTCAAATACAGTGGTACCTTGGCTTACGAGTTTAATTTGTTCCATGACCTAGCTCGTAACTCAATTTACTCGTATATCAAATCAACTTTCCTCATTGAAATTAACTGAAATACCATCAGTCTGTTCCAGCCCCCCAAAACCACCCCAATTCTTTTGTTATGGGTTTTAAATAAGAAAAATGTATTTATAAATAAGAAATATTGTATAATCCACCCTCCACCTTCACTACTCCACCCACCACCATCACTACTCCACCCACCACCATCACTACTCCACCCACCACCATCACTACTCCACCGACCACTATTACTACTCCACCCACCATTATTACTACTCCACCCACCACTATCACTACTCCACCCACCACCATCACTACTCCACCCACCACCATCACTACTCCACCCACCACCATCACTACTCCACCCACCACCATCACTACTCCACCCACCACCATCACTACTCCACCCACCACCATCACTACTCCACCCACCACCATCACTACTCCACCCACCACCATCACTACTCACCCCCCACCATCACTACTCCACCAGCCACCATCACTACTCCACCAGCCACCATCACTACTCCACCAGCCACCATCACTACTCCACCCACCACCATCACTACTCCACCCACCACCATCACTACTCCAACTACTATCACTACTCCACCCACCACTATCAGTATTCCACCCACCTTAATGTTTCTGGAAAAACTCTGAGTGTTGAAATGGAGGTTACCTCTTTCCCGGATTTATATGAGAATCTACAAGGGACAAGGTGCCTCACTACAATCTGGGATTAGTATGGGAGTATTATCCTTCCAGTTGTGTCTTGGAAGAGCATCTGGAATGGGATGAAGTACCTGACATTCCTCTGGGTACGGAATTGGATTTGACCTCGGATACGCCGCCAATTAGAGACGTATCTGAAGTTCGCTTGTGACTCGGATTTTGGCTTGCAACTCAAAGCAAAAAATTGACTGAGCAACGGCTCATAACTCGGAAAACTCATAAGTTGGGGCACTCGTAAGCCAAGGTACCACTGTATTTATCAAGATCAAACTTGTCAAGTTCTTCAGTCCCTGTTACATCATCTTGACTTTTTTTTATCAGATCCATTATTTTTTCATTATAATGATTTACAGTACAAACAAGCAGATGAGTAAGACACATGTGCAACAATTAGGTATTCTTATTTCCGAAATGTTTCGGCCACACAGTAGGCTTCTTCAGTCAGATGCAGAAGTGACTAAATATGGAGACAGCAGCAGCAGTGAGAAGGTAGATTTGATGTGGTCAGTTCAGCAGTCTGTAAATAGTAGTTTTGAGGTGGTCAGTCTTTCAACCACGAGAAGTGTCAAGCTATGTAGTCGTTAAGTGTTCAAGAATGTGAAACTGAAATCATATTAAGTCATCTATATATTTGAAGACACAACGAATCTTCAAGAGGTTACAGAATAAAGTCTTCTAGTGGACCTTGCACAGCAATATGATGTTCAGAGAGGACAAGTTGCGGTTGTTTCACTATTGAAGAATGGAGGAAATAAAGACTGAAAGGGAGAATGAGATAAAAATCATTTGGTTGAGTGAAAGCTCCATGTGTGAGACTTGGGAGTGATGATTTCAGAAGACTGCACATTCAAGGATCATAATAATACTGGTATTGCATTCAAATGGAAAAGGATAAGCTGGATAACTAGAACTTTCATAAAAAGGGATGCTGAGCTAATGATACTCTTTAGAAGTTGCGTGCTTTCTCTAGGCTGAAATACTGCTGTATACTATCAGCCCTCTTCAAGTCAAGAAAGATTCCTGAGATGGAAAATGTGCAGACAACTTTCATTGCTGGTATACATTCAGTCAGACAACAAAACTACTGGGAATGTTGGAAGTCCCTTCAACTGTATTCCTTGAAATGTAGCCAAAATCCTAGAGACTGAGTCTCATACCTGCACACCAAAATCACTCAGTATAAACACAAGAGACTTGGCAGATGAGAATTACCAACAAACATCTGGCTGTCTTCAAGAAAGAACTTTACAAGTTCCTCAAAGTAGTGCCTGACCAGCTGGGCAGTGGTTCATTCATTGGATTATGTGCAGCCAGCAGCAACAGCCTGGTTGATCAGTCTTTAATCCATCAGGAGGCCTAGTTGGGGACTGGGCACTGGGGGAGCCGACTCCCAAAAACATTCTCAGGTATCCTTCAAGATTAAAAAAGTCTACTATGCATGCAAAACATTTTGGGAATAAAGATACCTACCTGTTGCACATGTCTTACTCATGATCATTGCTACTACTAACAAACCATTTACACTGATTTATACAGTTTATTCTCAGTATTGTCAAGGTTTGTTTTATATTCCTTATTCACTGCATTGACATTAAAGAAGTTAGTCTGATATCAGGGATCTAGAAATGTGCTGAGTATCATGTTGTAGTCTTTGGTGTAACTCTTACACTTCGTTAATGTTGACACTGAAAACTGATGGTGTGCTACCCAAGCCTGAGAATCTTGGATCATTCAAAGTTTGTTGATGAAATGTTTCATATATTGTTCTTGAGGCAGAATTTCTGAGACCAAACAATGGCTTTCACCAAAATGTATAGCTGTTTTGTGAAATATTTTCAACAAAGAAGATGACTTGGCTATAAGATTGTACTCATTTCCATCAAATGATGGAAGATGTATTCTTTAAGCAATACATAATGCTCATTTCTTTTAAGATCTACTTTATCACAGGCTAGAGGAAAATGACTGAAGTAGCTCACTATTTACCTGCAGTTAACACTGATGTCTTTTATTACTTTGCTCAAGAATGAAATCATGGATAACCAACTGAAGTGTAGCATTTACTGAGTTCGTGTCTGTGTGAGAGTGTATGTGATTACCCTTCACAGTTGTGAGGTATAGTGTTAATTTTACTAATTTTTAAGCATGTGTATGAAAGAATTAGAGGTAAGACAGAATGTAGGATTGCGGATGAGCAAGGAGGTTTCAGAGTGGGTAGGGGATGTGTAGATCAAGTGTTTACATTGAAGCATATATGTGAACAGTATTTAGATAAAGGTAGGGAAGTTTTTATTGCATTTATGGATTTAGAAAAGGCATATGATAGAGTGGATAGAGGAGCAATGTGGCAGATGTTGCAAGTATATGGAATAGGTGGTAAGTTATTAAATGCTGTAAAGAGTTTTTATGAGGATAGTGAGGCTCAGGTTAGGGTGTGTAGAAGAGAGGGAGACTACTTCCCGGTAAAAGTAGGTCTTAGACAGGGATGTGTAATATCACCATGGTTGTTTAATATATTTATAGATGGGGTTGTAAAGGAAGTAAATGCTAGGGTGTTCGGGAGAGGGGTGGGATTAAATTTTGGGGAATCAAATTCAAAATGGAAATTGACAGTTACTTTTTGCTGATGATACTGTGCTTATGGGAGATTCTAAAGAAAAATTGCAAAGGTTAGTGGATGAGTTTGGGAATGTGTGTAAAGGTAGAAATTTGAAAGTGAACATAGAAAAGAGTAAGGTGATGAGGGTGTCAAATGATTTAGATAAAGAAAAATTGGATATCAAATTGGGGAGGAGGAGTATGGAAGAAGTGAATGTTTTCAGAGACTTGGGAGTTGACGTGTCGGTGGATGGATTTATGAAGGATGAGGTTAATCATAGAATTGATGAGGGAAAAAAGGTGAGTGGTGCGTTGAGGTATATGTGGAGTCAAAAAACGTTACCTATGGAGGCAAAGAAGGGAATGTATGAAAGTATAGTAGTACCAACACTCTTATATGGGTGTGAAGCTTGGGTGGTAAATGCAGCAGTGAGGAGACGGTTGGAGGCAGTGGAGATGTCCTGTTTAAGGGCAATGTGTGATGTAAATATTATGCAGAAAATTCGGAGTGTGGAAATTAGGAAAAGGTGTGGAGTTAATAAAAGTATTAGTCAGAGGGCAGAAGAGGGGTTGTTGAGGTGGTTTGGTCATTTAGAGAGAATGGATCAAAGTAGAATGACATGGAAAGTATATAAATCTATAGGGGAAGGAATGCGGGGTAGGGGTCGTCCTTGAAAGGGTTGGAGAGAGGGGGTAAAGGAGGTTTTGTGGGCAAGGGGCTTGGACTTCCAGCAAGCGTGTGTGAGCGTGTTAGATAGGAGTGAATGGAGACGAATGGTACTTGGGACCTGACGATCTGTTGGAGTGTGAGCAGGGTAATATTTAGTGAAGGGATTCAGGGAAACCGGTTATTTTCATATAGTCGGACTCGAGTCCTGAAAATGGGAAGTACAATGCCTGCACTTTAAAGGAGGGGTTTGGGATATTGGCAGTTTGGAGGGATATGTTGTGTATCTTTATATGTGTATGCTTCTAAACTGTTGTATTCTGAGCACCTCTGCAAAAACAGTGATAATGTGCGAGTGTGGTGAAAGTGTTGAATAATGATGAAAGTATTTTCTTTTTGGGGATTTTCTTTCTTTTTTGGGTCACCCTGCCTCGGTGGGAGACGGCCGACTTGTTGAAAAAAAAAAATACTATTAAAGTATTGGTTGGATCAGCCACATTTTCACCAATACGAATACCCTGAAAATAGCTGATACTGATACCTGTACTTTAGTTCTCCCTTAGTCTTGATTCCATTTGCCCATTAGAACTTTGTCTCTTATAGATACTTACAACTTTGATATTAATCATATTGTTATGTTTCTTCATGGAATAACATGAACTAGGAATATTGTACATATTTCATTTATACTGTACTGTAATTGGAACTGAAATTAAACTCCACTTTGATATAAATCAATATACGTACTGTATTTCAGGCTGTGAACCACTGTTGGACATCACTGGAACTGCTCTCAATGGAAGACCGAACACAAGACAACCAGGAAACAAGAAAGTAATCCCTGTTCCATCTACCAATGAACTCTCATGTGCACCTATATATTTCATTCGTTCAATCAGAATGCATCTAGCAACACAGTAAGAAAACATTTTGAAATTGCTTATCTGTTTGTGACATTTATATTATATGCCAATATATAAATGATAAATAATGCAAAAAGGGGCATGTACTTAGGTAAAGTGATACCACACTTTTGTGTGTGTAAAGCATGAAGATTGTGTGGTGAAAATGTTATACAAAGAATAAAGAGTAAAAACTTAGAGAATGATATGGTGGTATTGAAAGTATGATTCAGAAGGTGGAGGGGGGGGGGGTTTGTGATGGTTTTAGAAAAGATGGCATATGATAGGCTAATCAAGTGTGTATAAACCTGGAGTGTATGGAGGGAGGTGTAAGGCATGTCCCAACAAAGATGTGAAGACATGTGCACCCAGTAGGCATGTTTTACTAGAATGGAGACAAGTGATATTTTTGGATTTGATGTGGTGTTAGAGTGCAAGCAGGGTACCACCTTTGAAGGGAATAAGAAAAAACTGGTTAGCCAGACTCAAGTTTTGGAGGTAGGAAGCATAGTGCCTGTACCCTGAAGGATAAATGGAGATGTTACAGTTTAAAGTCATTTGTGTTGGAATGCCCACACACTTCAGATTGAGTGATGATGGATGTTTCCTTCTTTAGATCGCACTACCTAAGTGGTAAATGGCCACTGTGATTAAAACAATAAGGTGTAATTACCTGTCTATAGTTACAGGAATAGAACCATGTTTATGCTATCCCACATCTGGATATCCTTTTATTATTTTAAACTCTATCTACTTTTATGAAAATCAGACTTTTTTTCTTTCCAAAATGTACTTTGCTAATTAAGATTCCTGTACTTTGCCTTCTCTATAGAGTATTTCTAATTTACAAAGTAGTTCTCTGGTTATTCAACTTAAATTTTGTAAAACTAGTACGTATAGTGTTTAGCAATATGATATTTACTTCCCCTCTTACCTTAATACCTCATATGGTTACCCCTTATTTCCTGCTCCTCTTGCCCTCTCCAGTATTTATTTATTTATTTATTAACAATTTGAGCACACATACAGAGGTACAAAAAAATACAGATAAGAGCAGCGTGCCAAAGCCACTTATACTGTGCATAGCATTACGGGCTGGCTTAAAATTAACTTAAGATTAACTAAGCAATGATGAAATCAGTGATAAAACATTAATGTAAACAGATTACTATAAAGCACAAGTGAGTATTACAAAGACAGGTCATATGGTTGCATGCATTGTTGTACATTCAGTCGTATGGAGTATTCTGTTAGGTAGTGTATTTAAAAAAATAATAAAGTTAGATTGGGTTTTAGGTTTAACATTTATGTGATATAATTGTGAGAAACATTTAAGATATACAATTTATAAGGTTCAGTAATTCAGTATTTATTTGGTTTTGGGTGAGTAAGTGATCTTTGAGAAGAGACTTGAATTTATAAACAGGTAGTGTTTCTTTTATATTTACAGGTAATGAATTCCAGATTTTAGGGCCTTTTATGTGCATTGAGTTTTTGCATAGTGTGAGATGGACACGAGGAACATCAAAGAGTGATCTGTGCCTTGTGTTATGGTCATGTGTTTCTGTTGAGGTTGGCAAGGAGATGTTTGAGGGGAGGGTTAATATCAGAGTTAAGTGTTCTATGTATGTAATAGGTGCAGTAATAAGTATGGATGTTTTGTATGGTGAGTAGGTTTAGTGTATTGAATATTGGTGGAGTGTGCTGCCTGTAGTGAGAATTTGTTATCATTCTAACTGCAGCCTTTTTTTGGGTAATTAGTGGTCTGAGATGGTTAATTGTTGTTGAGCCCCATGCACAAATTCCATAGGTGAGATAGGGGTAAATAAGAGAGTGATATAGGGCCAGGAGGGCTGACTGTGGAGCATAGTACCGTATCTTCGATAGTATGCCTACAGTCTTGGAAATTTTCTTAGAAATTTGTTGTATATGTGTATGAAATTTGAGTCTATTATCAAGGTGGATTCCTAAGAATTTTCCCTCTGTTAACTTTGTGATAGGTGATCCGTTTATCATTATGTTAAGAGGGACATCTGTAGCTCTGTTACCAACTGAATGAAGTAGGTTTTGTCAATGTTTAGTGTAAGTTTGTTAGTCCTCATCCAGGTAGATATTTTCTGTAATTCGGTATTTACAGTATTGGCTAGCGTGACTGGGCTCGGGTGGGAGAAGACGTATGTGGTGTCATCTGCAAATAGTGTGGGTTTAAGTAATTGCGAAGCATTTGGTAGGTCATTTATGTATAGGAGAAAGAGAAGAGGGCCAAGGACACTTCCCTGTGGGACACCAACTGTAATTGGTTGTGCAGAAGAGTTTGCCCCATTTGCGTACACATATTGGCTTCTGTTGCTGAGGTATGACTTGAGGTAGTTGAGGGAGTGCCCTCTTATACCATAGTGTGACAATTTTACGTGGAGCAAGTCATGGTCAACTGTATCAAAAGCTTTACGTAAGTCAATGAAGATCCCAGTGGGACTTCTTTTTCTCTATTGCAGTGTATATATGTTCTAGCACGTGTATAATAGCATCATTAGTATTTTTATTAGGCCTGAATCCAAATTGGCAGGGGTTGAGTATGTTTTGGGAGATAAGGTAGGAGTAGATTCGTTTATGAATTAATTTTTCGAAGATTTTTGAGAGAGGGTGTAAGTTGGATATTGGCCTATAGTTATTCAACTCTGTTTGGTCTCCTCCTTTATGGATCGGGGTGACCCTTGCTATTTTGAGAACTGTAGGGAAGGTGGAGGATTCAATGGATTTGTTAAAGAGTGTTGCAATGATTGGTGATAGCACTTGTGACACATTTTTGTATATAAAGTGTGGTAAGGTATTTAAATCTCCTGCCTTGTTTTTTAGTGCGTTGATAATAAGGGAGACTTCGTATGGGTTAGTCGGAGCTAGGAACAGTGTGTTCGGGTAGTTGCCGGTGAGGTAGTCATTTGGTGGGGTATCTGAGCTTGGGATTTTATTGGCAAGGTTTTGTCCTATAGTGGAGAAGAAATCATTGAGTCTGTTTGCTGTTTCTGTTGGTGGGAGTTGGGGTTCATCTGATTTTGCTAATTTTATTTCGCTATTTCGTGATATCTTTTTTGTTCCCAGAATTTCTGATAGGGTTTTCCAGGTCTTTTTTATATCACCTCGTAAGTTGGATAATCTGTTCTCATAATACAATTTTTTTGCCCTTCTTATCAAGCTGGTTAGGATTGACGAGTAACGTTTTTTTGGTCTCTGGTTATGTGACCCATTCTGTACTGTTTTTCATATTGGTGTTTTGTATTTATGGATTTGAGAATGCTGGGTGTTTAGCCAGGGACTGTTCAGTCTCTTAGCTGTCATCTGTTTAGTTTTTTTAGGGCAGTGCTTGTTATAGAGGTATTGGGTCTTTTTTAGAAAATTATTAATACATTCGTCAATATCTGTATAGATTTCTAGCTCAGTGTGCCAGTCAATGTTTGCTACTGCTGTTGTGAAGTTATTAATGGCTGCCTCATTGTTAAGTCTGAAGGTGACTTTAGTAGTGTCTTGGGGTAGTTTACCAAGAGTTGTTATGAGGAAAGTAGGGTAGTGGTCTGTGGTATTATCTGTAATTATGCCTGATTTTAAAGGGGATATGGTGTTGGTCCAGATGTGGTCAAGTAGGGAAACACTAGTCTCTGTAACTCTTGTAGGTTTTGTTACTGTTGGTAGCAACATACAGTTACTCATTGTGTTTGTGAATTCAGTAACGTGTGGGTCCTGGTCTTGCAGGAGATTTATATTGAAGTCACCTGAGAGTAGTAAGTGATCTTTGTTCATGCGTGCATCAGTTATCATACTTCCTAGGTTTTGACTAAATTGGCTAATGTTTGACTGTGGAACTCTGTAGATGTTTATCAGTGTGAGAGGTTTTTGTAGGTATTTGGATTTGAATTTGGCTATTATATATTCCCCATGTTCATCCCTTGTGCAAGTATTAGTGATACATTCTAGTTGGTCTGAGTAGTATATGGCTGTGCCACCCCCTTGTTGGTCTGGCCTATAGTTGTGTATGGCTGTGTAACCAGGAATGGCATAGACATCTGTACTATCAGGCTTTAGCCAGGTTTCAGTTAGTGTAATGATGGACATATTGGCATGTAAGGAATTTAGTAATGCTATGAGGTCATCGTAATGCTTGCTTAAAGATCTGATATTGTAGTTAAAGATAGTTATGTTGTTGTTGGCACTGAGAAGTGCCTTTGATTGTTCTGCAGTGTAGTAATTACAGTAACTGTTTGATTCATTTAAGTCATTAAATAAGAGGTTGGTATCAGGATCAATGTTTGTAATCATAAGATTTGTAGTGAATCTATAGTTAGAATTAAGTATACAGTGGACCCTCAGTTAACAATATTAATCCGTTCCAGAGAGCTTGTCCTTAACTGATTTTATCGTTATCTGATTTAATTTTCCACATAAGAAATAATGGAAATCCAATTAATCTGTTCCTGCTGTTGGGAGGCATGACAGAATAGTACTTCAATATGACGCTATTATCAACGCTATAGCTTATTTATCTATCACAATTCATCTAATATGATATAATAAACAATATTAATAACATAGAAACATGATATATACTCTAGAATGAACAAAATATGTCATAATGTATGTGAGGAGTAAGTGGTTGTGGTGGTGGTGGTGTTAGGTTTATAAGGGCCACTGAGATAAGCTGTACATAGTGATGGTGGTTGTGAGGCAGCAGCAGAACCCACCACCACTATACACACTTAATGTACGTAATTTATAAGAAAGAAATATTTACATTTTAATTTATAAATAAGTAAGTAAGTTTATTCAGGTATACACAAATACAGTTATGTACAGAGGCATCACTAGAGTTGGTGTCACCCGGGGCGGAATCTTTGGTGTCACCCGGGGCAGCATCTTTGGTGTCACCCCCATGAAACTCAAGGGTAGGGGGATGGGGGGGATAAACTCCAGTTATGTCACTAGTACATGACCAGTGACAAATGTTTAGGAATAAGAATGTTTAA